TGTGTGTGTGTGTGTGTGTGTGTGTGTGTACGTGTGTGTGTGATGTGATTACCTCCCCAAAGAATCCACAAAACTTGCCATGCTCTTCATTTCTTCCTGCAGACACACTTCTTTGATGCCTGAGCAAAAGCTGCCAAGTCAAAAATAACTTGAGTTGTCACACACAGAGATTAACATTTTCCTCACCTCTCTATGTCCCTTTTTTCCAGGCAATAAAACTCCTCAAGGCAAGGTCGAATATAATTTTCTTCATGCGTGTCTTTATTTTGTGATTTTTTTTATGTGATACAAAAGCCTACCCCCAAAGTGTATTTTTATATTTCTATACTTAGGAAATTGCCCATGTGCTCTGCAACATTGTGCTTGGCTTATGAACAGTGCAATAGTGATATATATTGGGTTACTTTTTTAAATTTTCATAGAATAATCAGTGGTAATACTGTTGTTRTTGTTATTATGATGGAAGATGACCTTTTTTGCTATCCGCAACTTCAACAAGGGACACCTGAAGTAATTCCTTAAATTATAAAAAAAAATTTAAAAAAAGACTTGAACAAAACAAAGTAGCGCACACAGCTGAAAAAAGTTGTTTGTGTTCACGTCACCTGTCACCTTGTGAAAGCAGCAATTTTAAACCTCAACCCAGTATTCCAGGTGGCGTTCTAAATCCAGGCCCAGGCAGCAATGCCCATGTGGCATCCCCAGGAAGGCCAAACATGGCTGCATTCCCTGTCGGGGCAGTGCTGGGGATGCCCTTGGGCCGTGTCCCTAAGGAATGTTTGCTTGGTCCTCTCTCTCCCAGGCCGCCGTGAAAGCTGTGGTGGCCTCTACGCGCCTCGGCAGTGCCAGCAGCCATGGCACCCATGACGGCCACAAGGGTGGCCACAGCCCGGCCCGTGACACCCAGCCCGTGGAGAATCCCACTCAGGACACAGCAGTGGCGGCAGCGGCGGCCCCAGAAGAAATGCCTTAGATCGGTGTTGGTCACCCGCAGCGGCGGAGATGTGTCATTTCATACACCAGCTACCTTGTCATCTGGCGAGAGAGAATTCGTGAGCTTGGCCTCTCTGGTTCTGCTTCAGGGCAYCACAGGCCCCACCTGGTAATCCTACCTTCAGTGCATGTGACTGCTTATGAAAATAGTAAACTGTTCCATAAGGCATGTCATGGAAACAGTGTAATTCACAGTAATAACGGCAGGTGAAAACATGGGGATTATTAACTACCTACCATAATGTGTACACTTCATCTATCTAGTGTTCCTAGGTGGCATTTGAAATACAATGCTGTTTCGTTTGGTTTTATGGGAGTAGGTGTCCTATCTATGTTGTGAGTTTCTTTGAACTGTTTTCCTTCCAGGTTCATAGTCCTTTAGCAGACAAAATGGAAGGAAATACCAAACCAATGCTTTTAAAACTGATACAAAAAATAATGCTTTTTATCTGTAAAATTGAAGAAGTATTTGGGGATTTACACACAAAAGAAAAAAACAAAAAAAAACAAAAAAAACCAACATTCCACTACTTCTGGGAAGTTTCACTGAGCATGAAAATGTACATTGCTCAAGCTTGTATTGAGAATGCCTTATTCTGACTTTTCCTGTTTATATATGGTATTTTAATAACAACCAAAATTATTCCAATTTCTGCCATTTCATTCCATAGTAAAGTGCTAGCAAAACAAAATCATAGACTAAAGAAGGATTAGATGCAAATTCGTGGCATACCGTTATATTTATTCATTGAAATTCTAAACTCTGCAGCTAGAAGACATTTTATAGGCCCTAAGGGAATAATCTGCATTTAAATAAATTGTAAATGCTTGAAGGAAGATATTCCACAACTTACTGATTTCACTTTGGAGAAACACTCTTATKCAAGGTCTGGGAGCAAGTATTACAATCTAGTTGGTTCCTGGGTAGTTTAACCTCATAAGTGAGCAATTTTCACTTGTAATTAGTCCTCATTTTCCTAACAAAGGACCCCTCCTTTGAGATCCCTAAAGGATCTGTCCGCCAGCACAGATCTTGCATCCACCCAGAGCTCCTGTGTCTTGGGTTAGCAGCTGTGTGCATCAATCAGCTTGCAAAAGTAGGGTCAGGCTCTTTGGCTATCTTGATGTTTTCATTGAATGTGATTGATAGGAACTGAAAAACTAACATGCATCAGTATGTATGACCACTTACATTTGTTTATCTATTTGACAGCATGTGACTATTGTACTGATATATTGCAGAAATGGCAAAAAGAACCTGATGTACAAAAATGTCATTTGTGCTTGTTAAACTTTTAATACTGATAGTTAACAAACATCCTAATACAGTCATCATTCCTCTTTTGCTTTAATTGTTTTTATGTTGTTGTTAGGCCTTGCACAACTTGCCTTGGAAAAAATATAGCAGCTACTGAAAAAAAACCCCAAGACTTTAATAAAACATTCGATAACTATATTTCCTGATGAAATTAAAGGGTAATGCAGTGTTATTCATATGGTAGATTTAATAAATAAAAAATGATCTAAATTAATATATAAAGAAGGATTAAAGATCCTGTCTTTAGTGGGTGAGAATGCATGTTAATGAATCTRTTATACTCAAGATTTTTTTATCCATTTCTTAGAACTCTTTGAACTTGCACAATATRGTTTGCCAACTAAGCAGGGCTGAAATTTAAAGTACACAGATCCATTCATTTTTCAAGTGACACACTTTCAACTGAAACAGCTGCTGGGGTCATGGCAGCTRTGTGCAGGCCAACAAGACACTTTTACAGATTTTTCCCTTGGAAACCAGTATAGTAAGATTAATAACTTTGAAGAAGATCATAGGTACATCCACCTGTCTCATTTTTCACTCTCTGTCTTACCTCCTCGGAGGTGACTGCAGAAAAAATGCAATGCTCAGCTACTTTAYTCCACCCCGTTCTATTGTGGTGAAGTCATCCAAGTTCAGTCAATAAGGAGGTTTGATGGGAGAGGCTGCATTTCTGTAACATTTCATTCCTCTTTTGGGACAGTTGCTTCAAACCTGCAGAAGTAAGTTGGCTGTGCAGTCACTGCACATCTGTGAGAGCTTGAGCATAAATTCCTTCACCCGAGGCGTGGTTATCTGAGCTGAAAAGTGGTCCCATCTGATTCCCAAAGTTGTTTTTTGCTAAATTATACCACAGCGTATCATAACTATGAACCAATGCTATCCAACAGGAGACCTCTCTGTGACAGCATGATCTTCAGAGGCAGCTCAGTTTTGTGCATAAAGGCTCGGGGCTTCAGTTGGGGTTTTAATTTAGTTTTCTTTTATTGCACTCAACATTGAGCAATCAGGATGTCTATGATGAATGATTACCAGTATGTGACTCGGTAAAGCACTGTGCCTCACAGATATATTTAATGTATGACAGCACTAGGGTGTATACATACAACAGTGGAAGACAGGAGTGTTACCTGCACAGGCTTTGTCTGAAAAATCACAGCCTTGTGGTATTTGCTGCAGTTCAGACTGGGATGTGCAACATCTGTGTCCTACTGTGGCTGAAAAATRTGAACACACTTGAAAACTACAGGAGATGGACCAGATTTCCAAATCTGTGGTTATAAGCTAGGTAGAAAGTTACTCATGCTCTTTTCTGTTGAAATCCTAAGCTTTAATTTAAAAAAAAAATATTTAACATATTAACAAATTAACATATTAACAAAGTTCTTCAAGTACAAAAGGGGGAATCTTGCCATCTTTTTAAGTATTTGAACTTAGCAAAAGTTTTCCTTTAAAGGCAGATTGCAGCATTAGCCAATTAAAGTCTAATATTTGAGAGCTGGGATGATGATCAGATGGCTGTTGAATGGCTAAGGAAGTACTGCATTTGCACTACAATACGGTTTTCCCAGGTTCTGAMAGTTTCCCACCAAAATAAAACAGATTTCTGATAATTTCAAGCACTTTTGTTTGCAATTTTGTAGATGACAGAGTAGATTGCACTGCATGAGCCTGGTGCTGGTTTGTTGGCTGAAGTTTGCACTCTATGTTGTATAAACATGTTGTAAAGAGGCAGACACACTGTTATCCAAATTCTGAATGCAAAAGAACTTCAAGGCAAAAGCTTTTGATACGGCAGGTTTTTCAGAAGAAGGGTACTAAGGATTCTGTCCCCACAAGTGAACAGGCTGCTGGACATGAGGAGTGACAAAACTGGCCAGCAGCTCCTTCACCTTGGTGAATAAAGCAAAATGCTCTGAAAAGCTCTGTGGTAGCAGAGCAGTATAAATGCAACATCCAAAATGTTTTTTTGAATYGGCTCAGAGCAGAAGCAAGTCCCAGGCTGCAGGAGGCTGTGGCTCACAGGCAGCCAGGCCCAGGCCCTGTCCAGATAAATCACCTTCTCCTACAACTCACACTGCCAGTGGAACACAGACACAGCTGGCAGCCACAGGAGAAGGAATACAACACCACATTTTCCCTGCCCAGCAGCAGGGAAAGGAAGATGATACTGGGAGTTCTTAGTGTACAACTTAGCAGAAGGACAGCAATGTCTGCCAAGCAGCAAATGCAACAGGGTGCTGGAAAATAAACCCTTGTTTCCAGATAACCATCCCTCAGCTCCTGCTCACATCCTGGTCATCTCTGGGGTTTTAAAAGCAGCACATGAAAGTGTGGAATGGRGGACTCCCTGCAGATCCTTGCAGAGTGTCCTGCACTTTGTGTGCCTACAGAATGGCAGACACAAGCCTCAGCACACTGCCTTGGCCCCAGGCTTGTGCAGAAGCTGTTCCTCTTGGTGAAGAATTCAGTTTTGTGTGGCTGAGCCAGCCTTGYTGCTGCTGAGGTTGAGTGCATAGCTTATGGAGGCATGGCATTCATGTAACAAAAAATATCCGAGGCTGACCAAGAAACATTTACAGTTAGACCTAGGGCACAGTGGCAGGGATACACACAGGTCTTGAAGACACCAAAGGTAACAAAGAGACTGRCAGAACATCCTGAAAGTTACTTTATAAAACAATTACAGCTCAAAGAATGTCCTTTCCTCCCCATCAGAGTTAATTCAGCTGGAACATAAATAGTGACAGTTCATTTTTCTTTTGTATAAAGAAATTTATGTAAAATTTCCAGAGGARCCCCTGTAAAATTTCCTGTTTCATTGAACAAAAAACATCAGCTGCACWGCAGAATAAGAAGAAAAGAAGGAAGGGAAAAAGAAAAAATAGGAGTAAAATATTTGCCTAGTCTAGATACAGACTTCTTACGCAAGACTTGCAGAGGGTTTACAAAGATGATGAGGGGACAGAAGYATCTTTTATGAGGAAAGGCCTGTTCAGTCTCAAGAAGAGAAGACAGAGAGGGACCTCATTAATATATGTGAATACCTGAAAGGAGGACGTCAAGAGGTTGGACAACACCCTGCTCTGTGGTGCTGAGCAACAGGAAAAGAGGGATGGGCAGAAAGTGATGTCCAAGAAGTTCCTCCTGAACATGAAGAAGAATTTCTTTACAGTGCAGATGATCGCACACAGGGACAGACTACTCAGAGAAACTATGGGGTCTCCCTCATTGAAGATATTCCAGAACCTGAAAACAATCCTGTGCAGTGTGCTGTAGAAAACCTGGATTGGGCAGGGAGATGGGACCAGATGACCATGCCAGTGGTCCCTTCCAGCCTTACCCATTCTGTGATTTCTTGCTTTTATGATCTTCATTCTGGAAGATATGTAAACTTCTACTGGCAAGACTGCAGATTCCTTATATCTGGAAGGTAAAAATCCTGCCTCGACTAATTCAGTGAAGATTGCAGTAGAGTCAGTGAAGAGCATTCCTTGGAGTGTGAATCCTCTAAATAATATAAGCATAGAACAATATACATGCATGTAACTAAAAATCCGGCAAACACTTTCATCCTACTCCAACCCTCCAGAGTGGAAAAAAGAACATGAAGTCAGTCACAAACTTAGTTATTATTGGAAGACTTCAAAATATTATGGAAGTAGGCATAGTACAGAAGCAGGAATACAATGGAATTCTCAATTCTCAATTCTCAATTTAGYAGTAAAATCGTAATTCGAATATGTAAATGAACACACAAATATATACATTTATCAAATGACAGGCAGAGACTGCTGAACAATCTTTAAGAGCCATATCTAAAAGTTGCAGCAATCTTCTAAGCCATCTTTTGTCCCTGGACAGCATTACTCATCTGGACCTGAAACTACAATGATTAACAGTCTTGTATACATAGATCATCGCTGGATGAAATTCAGTAATACCTATCAAGGCATGAAAGACAACAAATACTGTGGCAGAGAGTTTTGCCCAGCTCTAGCTCCTTCCCAGACATGGYTGGGAAAAAGATTACTTCAGTGCTCTTGTCATTTTGTGTGCTCAGCACAGGGGTAGAAACAGAGTGACAACACAAGCACAGAATTTTGTGATGAGTTACAACTGCCCCAAACTGCACAGAGACCCTGTTTAGTGATGCTCTATCCACAGCACATGTGACTGAGAACTGACAATCTGGCCCCTCATTTGTACATCAGGAAGGTGTTTATTGGGCAAGGTATATCAAACAGCACAGGTCTTCCCCTATAAAATAGCAGAGTTCCTCCCATAGGAAGATATGTAAAAAGCAGAGCTTAAAAGAAAGGGATCATTTCTTTATTTTCCATTTGAAACTCTGACTTCAAGAAAAAGTACTAACATTAATGGGTAAATGGCTCATTGTTATTCTTCCCCTTTGTGCTTCATCTTTTTTTTTCCTGGCCCAGGGGTACCTAGGAAGAGCTATCAGCTGCCAGTCAGAGAATAAAGAGCCATCTGACACTTGGCAGGTTTCAGGTTTTCTGCCCTGACAAATCTGCTGTWGCCCTTGGTTCCATTGGATGGTTTCACTCCTGCTCTTATGCTCCCAGAGGAGTCTGGGTTTCATCAGTCAAGTATACACATTTCTCTGCGAGTCACCTGGTGTGATTTGTCACTGCCAGTTAGAACCCAGGGAGAGGTGTTCATACTTTCYCTCTCCATTCCCCAGACTCATGGTTTCCTGGTACCTTCAGATTCCTTTCTTAAAAGCCTATACCTGGCTGACAGAAATAGCTTAGTGATATACAGCAAATGCCAGACAGACACAGAAAATAATCCGGCTTCTTGGGTTATTTTTCCAAGAGAAGATGAAGGCACCCGGGCTGCTGTAGGCGCAGGATGRGGGGGTCAGAGCAAAGAGGTGCACAAACAGCACCATGCCAGGTTCTGCTCCGCAGCACCAGGAAGCTCCTTTGCCAACAGCACCATTGTCCTTCTGTGGACAAGACATTGTTTAGATCAATCCAAAGAAACCAGTCAGGCTTAGGAACTCTGAAAAATATCACGTGTGTTCTGACTAGTGACCTTAACATTCTTTGCACGAACTGATATACTTAGAATCATATTTTATGCAGCATTGCCATTTACAATGTTGGSAGGAGAAACTGCAAAGTCAGTTTGGAACASTCGGTCCCATGCCTGGAACTGTAAATAATGATCTGCTTTGTAAYAGGAAACTCCGGAGCCAATCACTGTATCTGCAGAAGTACATAGCTGAGAAAGTCCATCAATAAGAAAACAGAAATTCTTATCCCTGTGTTGGATGGGTCTGAGGTGGTTCTTCTAATTGAAATTRTTATGTCAAATGACTCAAAGCAGCTATTCTGGTCACTTGAAAGCTGAGGACAAGGCATTGGGTTTGATTTAGAGCTGCAAATGCCATGTGATCTGTCCCAGAGACAGTATGTTCTAGGGAGCCACTGAGTCATATTTATTCATCCACAGAACTGTGCATAGGGATATGCATTATCCTATCAGCCCTCAGATCCCAAAGCATATGATCTTACTTACAAATGTGAAATTTGCATGAATGACTACAACTACACAAATCCCCGAGTAATACTGAACAACRAACGCCCACAGCAAACACACTGGAGAGCTCTGCTAGAGAACACACCAAAGAGAGCTCCTCTTTAGCTTTGTGTCAACAAGGGATAGAGTGAAAAGTATCTATAAATGTGCACTCTCAGGTTCCTTGATTTCTGTTATTTTCCTGACATCGTCAACAGCCATGATGTGGAMGTAGTGCAAATGTATCCAATGACATCCTCCTCCGGATGGAGAAACCTTACCACTGCCCCCATTTCTTTTCACTTGTAAGACATCAAAGTTGTATTGTTTGTGCTATTAATGTCCCCCAGTCTCTTCTCCCTCAGCTTGCCATAGGACCTGAAGTAGACTTTTACAGAAAACTGAAGTTTGTCAGTAAGTATTTCATGAAACTAAGCAAATGGACTGTATGTATATTTAGAAAAAAATGTCTTTGAAATATCCCCTAAATCCTGATGCAGCAACGTCCTCTCTGAGAAGTATTTCTTGAGAACGACAGGGATCCATGGGACCCTACTTAGCATCCCAAGCTGGTGCCACCACCAACTTACTGCCCTCAGTGTAGCAATTGGTGCCTTGTTTGCTCAGCTCAAATCTTTACTGTCTTGGTTGCAGGGAGAGAGTAATTACAAACTGAGATACTTTTTACTGAAAGTAATTAGAARTAATGTTGCACACAAGAACCATTTCCTTGTTCACACCACATCCTCATGAGATGTCATGCTAACGCTTCTGATTAAATAGCAGAAATTTCACTTAATGTTCCACTAGCAGACATTGTTTTGGGGTCCAGCTGGGTTGTTTTGGGGTTTTTGCTTTATTTTTCAGAATACAGTATTGAGAAAATTACCTCTGAAATGCTTAGTTGCTCAGGGAGAAGGAAAGAAGAGGTGGAGGGTGAACCCTAGTCATAGGAGCATAGAACCAGTTTGGAAAAGACCTTTGCAAAAGATTGGTTGGGAAAGATCGTGGAGTCCCGCTGTTAACCCAGCACTGCTAAGTCCATCATCCACAGGATGGTCTTGCAAAACAACAGCGGTGGCTGGCCCAGCTTGTGAGGGAGTAGGTGGAGGGAAGAATCACTGAGGCTGTCTCTCSTGGGGAAAGAAGTCTGTCAGTCTCCAGGAGCTGTACCACCACACTCTTGCAAGCCCAGGGGATAGGCAGAGGCTGCCTGGCTGCTACACATCCATCAACTTAAACCGGTTTTAATCTGAATAAATGTGGTATGTCAAGGRCTTGTGTCTGGCTTGGCCTTTGGAGGTTCCTGGCTGGATGAGGACCAGACTATAAGAAGGGAATTTTGTGCTTTTCTTAATTCAGGAATTGTGTATGCTGCACGATTAGGGTAAGTGCTGATGTTTCCAAGACAAATAGAAAAATGGTGCCTTTGATTAGTAACACGAAGTATTTTATAAGCCTGTTGCAGAAGCTCATTGATCTCAGAGCGGTGGCAGCTGGACTCTTGTCAATAAAGAATGTTRTAAATATAGATATAGACTCTCAAATTAGCTCCATGTACGGCATTCTTGACTCCTTACTTTACTGCTTAATGTGTAAGAAATCCTGCACTGCCAACACTGTTTTCTTCTACTAGCAAAGATATAAACTAAATAGATGTTTATGGACTGCTTGTTTGACTATACCGTTTTGCTTCTGATMAAGCCTGTTTGTGTAGTACCTTTCCTGATACTGTGCAAGAGAACCAGAGAGAAATTTCAACCAGAAAATAATTACTGTTTTGTTATTTCCACATATTGTACATGGGACTGCTAGTGTTGTTTGCATGGGAATGCTGATAAGCCATGAGGATATGGTTTGATACTGGGATATCTATTTTTAGTAAGTGACTTGCATGACTGATCTGATGCTAAATAAACTAGTAAATCTATAAAAGCTTACATCTAATATTTGCTGCAAGCTAATGCTTGCCACAGAGCAAGGAACAATAGTCATCATTAGAAGACGAGTAATCAGTGGGTATGAACTGTTTATATTGCAAAGTCTAGAATGAATTCCAGCTTGGCCCAGCATTGCCCCTGTTCATTTTCCCTCTAAAGTTAGCAGCTGAGTAACAAATTAAATCTGTTATTAGTGGTGAACAGAACCAAGGAGCTGTCCAGGCTTCCCMTGTGCCCCAGGGTGGGTTATGTGAGATAGATGCTTTTTGTCAAACAGCTCCAGTGATGAAGAAATTACCACTTCCTTGTGCACTCTAGTTCTGCTACTGTTTTTAACTGGGAAATGTTTTACAAAGTCCTGAGTCTTTTTGTTGCAGTTAAAAGTTTTCCTATTATGCTGATTTGTTTTCCAAAGGTTATTAAAGTGCCCCTTCATTCAGCATACTTCTCTCAGCATCACAAACCAAACCCTTATCCCAGAGGTCTTCCACTCTTTTTTCTTGAGTATGGATTTCCTGCCTTTAGTCGACTACTCTTTGAACTATGTTGCCAAAAGCTGCACATAGTACCTGAATGGGGAACACTGCAAGACTGAGGTGTTCAAACAGTTTTTTATTTGTCTGTTCTTTTCCTGTATCTGTCAYCCTCAGTGTTCCTTCCTGCCTGGTACTGGCACATCTTGTTATTCCTGCCACCTACAACTCCTTAGTCTTGCAAACTGCTTGAATGCAAAGACCCTTCCCACCCTTTTGTGGTAGGCAATTTTACAAAACCTTCCATCCTGGAGCAATGTAAGAAATAAATTATGATAAATTCTACCAAGTCATTTTGCATGGCAACAGTGCTCCAGAAAAAAAAAAATCTAATTTGGCATTTCCATGGATCTTGTTGAATCTTTTCACAAGCTAATGTAAGGCACACAGTCTTACTATACTTTCATTATGTCATCTTTGTCACACCTTCATAACAGGATGGAAAAAGGCAGTAGAAAGTCCAAAGGAGAGGACTCCTGAGCTCCCCTGAGCTCCCCCTGGAGCTCAACGTTGTCTGCTTTTGGCTGACCTCAAAAACAGTGCATCTAACAGCTGAGTGGGAGCTTGATACAGCACGATATTACACACTGTCTTTATAGTGAGCTTGAGATAAACAAGAGAACAGGAAATAAGAAAGAACACGTCAGAGGAAATTTTCATGAGTTTGGAGAGCTGGGGAGTTAAACATAATGATCCTGCCTCATAACTACCTATTTTCTGCATTTCTGTTGGTGCCTGACACAGCCTTCTCTAAAAAGCCCTGGGGTTTTGTAGTTATGATGTCCTTCTCAGCAATTCAAGCACTTGTTCCCTTCGACATGTTGTACACATGATAAGCAAGCCATACCTGAACTGTAAAAACTGGGTCAACAGCTCAGCCCAATGAGGACTGGGAAAAGCAGAATTTGTTACGAAGTTTAAATTGTGATTGAGGACTTCAGGATACACTCTTTCCTAGAGAACATTTAATATTTACCATATATTTAATACGTCTCTCTCTTTCTATTATCTTTCACTGGGAAATTACTTCGAACATTAATGTTTCTGTAATCATTTTCCAAAGATCCCAGGTGGCCTCAGCACATATGCCTCCCCCATTCTGCAGAAGGTGACATGACACATGCCCTACAAGATCATCTCAGAGGTCACAGTTCCTTTTCACAGCAACAGAAGAGGGCTACAACTCCTTCCACTGAAGTCGAAAGCTACAGAAGTCTACTGCCTTTATGCCAGCTTTATAAGACAAACAAGGGAAGGTTCTAGAAAAGATACAGGGATTTTGTTGCTGCAGGTGCTAATTAAATAAATGTCAATATACATGTTGCAGCACATAATACACATCTATATGCCTTTTGCCAGGAAGCTCCTGTGTTTCAGGCAAATGTTTATGGTTAATAGATCATTTCTTAAACATATAAAAAGGTAAGTTATACTAAGCCAAAATAATAAAATTCTTTCCTCAGTATCATGGGGTCATCACAAAAAAAAACCCTGTATATATATTTTTAGAAGTGAAGCTTTGAGAAAATCCTATTTGTACAGCTTTCAAGAGATTTAAATTGGACATTTTTCTCAGTCTAAATCAAGTTCGTAAGTAAAGATAGACTTTATGGCCTTCAAATTTATGTCATTCGAGATCACCATGCAGCTGAAGATGAGCTACATCATCACAAATAGATCCCCAAAAATGCCACATATGGTTGCACAAGTATTGAAAAAGSTATACCATGAATCTGTTGGAATTCACAATTCTAATTTATTCTGCAARTGCATTCAAAATGCAAATACAATCACTTAAATACTGAACACAGTAAGATAAACCCACTGTTAGAACTTTTACTTTCCATACACAGGCACAACTTGACTGGTAACACTAGAATTAGGGCTATTTTTACAGCAGTGAACCTCCTAGGTTGAACCACCAGGTCACATCATCAAAATTGTTCTGATTACTTATGATTACTGGAGGAATTACAGGCTCTGCATTTTGTAAGTTCATCATGTTTCATATTTACAAGTTCATCAGATCAGGGCCTGTGGACATTGTATCTCTCTGAAGTACTGGTCCACTTCCCAGCAAACTGTGGTAGAGTACTTGGACTGCCCCTAAATTGAACTTAGCCCCATCTCTGTATCTTTTGCACATCTTACAGGCAAGGTTTAGTGCTGGAGGTTTTAGATGAGGAACAGAACCCAAACATGAAAACAGTCTTTACTCCAGTCACCTTTCCCATACACACACGGAGCACCTAGTTAAAGTACCAAAGAGTAAAGTGTCACATTACCTAAACCTCTAAAAAATAAGTTTTTTAAAAAAATATTAGCCATATAAAAATAATTTTGATGTGTCTATATACATACAAGATCTCTGCTATTCTTGGGCAATTTGGTCAGAAGTCACTTCTGGATAAATTCCACTTTAACAAAAACACTCATTAAGTGATAGAAATCTATACCAAGCAATTTGTCATCTCCATTTCTTCTGCCTAAGCAAAACATGAGTTCCGGCACTTTGTCCTTGCAACTGCTTTCCTGTATTAATTCTATTGGTTCYATCTAGATTGTCCACTAACTCAGGAGAAGAATGCCACAGCAGAAGAGGCTCTGATATTGTGGTTTTCTTGGTTCTGATGTACGCTGGTAAAAGAATAGTTCTGCCTTCTCCATCTACAGCCATATAAACATAATATAAATTTTGGGTTCAAATAAATACRACATTTGAAATTGGACATCTTTCTTCTAGTGCTGTATTAGTCTACAGCTGAACTGAAATTTTTATTAGAAATATCAACACACAAAAATACACTAGCAATTTTTTAACTTTCAAKCTCAAGTTCTTCTTTCTTCAGCTGCTCTATGCTTCACCAACCTATTTTTACTGAAAGCAGAAAAAGCCATTTCGCTGTGTACTAAATAAGGATAGATACTGTAGATGTGTCAGAGCCATTAAAATGGGTGTTTGGAACGGGGGCTCTCAATCCTTTCTGCAGTGCCTGGTGTTGTACAAACATTCTCCTGTGTCTTGTGCTCCTTCTGACCCATYTCTCCAGCACTGAAGTGCAGATTTAAACTAGGTTTTTTACAYAGAAAGGAATATTTTGCTCTATGTACATCTGTATCACAATCCCTCCATTAATCAGTCCCAGCAGCTCTAAAAAGGGAAGACACGAATATGCAGATCCACTGCACATGTAATCTTTGTAACTGGGAAGAATCAATAGGCTACACTTCAGTTCCCTCTACAATCATATGTCATCATTCAWCCCACAGAGCAGCACTGCCAGAGATTTCTTAATTGCCTCTGTAACAGTACTAGAAAGGAAAAGATTCTGGCAGCAMTTATTTGGTGTCCCTGGTGGTAGATCACCTCGTGAGCTTCCAATACTCTGGCGGATACAAGRAAGGTAGAAAAAAAGTGGGAAGACTAACTCAGGAGTTTAGAGAGAACTGCAGAATATACAGAACCAACAAGGAGTTAACATCTTCTGCCCATGAAGACACCAAAGGCTTTTTAATGCATTGTTTTTAACAGTCTTAAATAGTACTTGATAACCTGAAAACATGAAGCAGGTTAAAAAAGCACCCACCATATTTGTTTTTTTCTACCTCTCTACTTAAGCAAGGAGAAAGTAAAGTCCCTGCTATTCGGAGTTCAGCTACAGTGGCCAGTGTCAAAGGAAAATGAAATGAACGAGTGGCTCTTCCTGTTGCTTTCATAATCCCAGGATTTTCAGATCAAGAAGAAATACATACACTCAAAAAAACCACAAACCAAAAATCCCCAACCACAAACACACACTATTACATGCAAATGTAAGTAAAAAACCTTTGTAAGTACAGGGTATCACTGAAGATCCATTGTAAGTTTGCTATTTTGACAACTGTGTGATTAAAAGCCCACAAAAAAACTATGGAAAGACACCTGATGACTTAAATGAGCCTTGAATCARCTGTAAGGGCATTTCATTATGCACTGAGACTATTATATACAACAGTAAATAAGTCACAACATTAAAAGAAATGCCAATAATGAACACTTAATCTTTGCTTACAAGTGTTAACAGCTTTCTTACGAATAGAATCATTTAACAACCTAGCTATATAATATCCATATGATAAATCAAAGCAAATTTTGAAAACAAATTACAGATGCAGCTGAAAAAACTTCTTAAAAAATCACAATATTTAAGTAAATATGAATATATTCATTTATATATATTAATATAATTACATCTTCAATGAGATGAGATGCTGCCTCTACAGCAACCTGCATCACCAAACTCCTGAGAACTTGGCTCCCAATACCGCTGGAGAGAGCTGAGCTTACAGTGCATTTTTCAAGCCCACACACACAGCTTGTGCCTTCTACWGAGGAAGCTGGGCGTTTAGAGATTCAGGCTATTCCTCGCTAAGGTGCAGAGTGCTGAACAGCAAAAAGCATCCCGCACCGTGCACTGGGAATGTATGCTGAGTATCACATCAAAAAGCACTTGGTAAAGTTGTTTGGATCCTCCACGTAAAGGTTCGGGTGTCATTCAGGAACAATGTTACTCACCTCAAATAAACTATGCTAAGCTAAACAACATAATCTGATTGCAAGGAATGCATGGGCTTTTAAGACACTGTTAGTCTATGTTTTGAGTGCCTTTTTGAGATCAGAGTAGAAATTGGTCAGGGTACTAGACATGGCAGTGTCTACAGCAGATTGTGGTAGCATCCCTCGCAATTCAGTCTGGATGTAGCCTGTCAAAAGACTGTGGCCAGGGGAGTCCTTGAGAGGGACACAGAACCAACCGCAAGGGTGATTGAATCCACGGACAAAGTTCGGTCTCACCTCTCCATAGTCCAGGCTTATACCTATCAGGGAAAATAAAACAAAAAGGGAAATTAATTTGAGATAAAAAAAAAAAATAAGGTGGTCAATTCGGAATATACTTGAGGAATTTAGTAATAGTTTCTGCTTGGGGAATTTAGTTATAGTGACAAACACACTTCAAGTCATGCCTTAGGATTTTAGCTTCTGTATTTTTCATGTATTTTTCAATCCTGTAGTTCTTTAGTGTATAACTCTATATCCCATATACCGTGTTAAACTACTATTCTCCCACTTTCAGACAAAACAATTCCTCTCCAGGCCCAAAACTCAAGGATACCTTACTGTCTTAGGTCCCAAGATATGTAAACAACAGAGAACTGGGAGGAGCAAACTTGGAGTAAATGACTTCATTACCTGAAGCTGTAATTGGAGCATTCGCCTTCAATATGCAAATAGRCAAAACTTATAAAGCATGAAAAACCTGTGACTGGTCATCCATTTTGGGTGTAGCCCCTGGGTGGGCTGTGACTGCCCTAAATGTACCTGGACGCCCTTCAATAAATATAACTGCTTTTTATTCTCTTCATTTTGTCTAGCCTCTGTTTCAGGTAAACYCAGATTAGGCATCACAAATTTCTGGGTATTTTAATGCATGAAAGTTCTTATTCATCCAAACTCCCCAACAGACAGGAAAGCATGATAAGCAAAAATTCAAATATTAAGAGGACATTCCTGCCATTTACTAGTAGCAAGTTATTACTCCTCACAGTTTCTCTAGGACCTGAGGGAGGACTCCACTTSTGTCTAACTCTCCGGTCCCACAGCTGAGTGAAACCTGGCAGAAAGGAATGGCTCATGGGTAACCAGTAACTTGTACACTTCTTTAAATCTGTAAAATGCAAAATCATCTTTGAATTTGTTAAAACACCTTGAATTTATTTGTTGAAGAACTATTTTAAACCATTTTTGGCATGTTTGCTRGTATAAAATCTGGATCAAATCTTCAGCCCAGCAATTGTTGCAGAAGAAATTAAGCAGAGCTAAGTGGTGGCTTACCACATGATAGAAGCCCATCTTCATAGCTTGTCGTGTAAGAGAAATCAACAAACTCCCTTGGTGCTATGATGTTCCAGAGCTGGCCAGCAGTCGTATAGCGCATCACACAGCAGTTCTTGTTGAGTGACAAAATTAGGAGGGCAAGAAAACAAAAATATCTCAGTATAATGAACACAGGGAAACTTATGCTTGCAAGCTGGCTAACGTTTTTCACAAAGGTCACAGCTCTGTCAAAAACACTGCACAAATTCACTGAGGTCTGAATGAATGTGCCACTTTCAATCCACATGCTGGAAGTCACGAGGACTTGTGAGCTACAACTGAGAGCTGTGGGAGCAAAGAATATCTGGCACCATAAAGGTTTAATGATCTAAAGCTAGAGAACAGTGTCAAGCCTGACAACTGAAAGCCATGTGGCCCTTATTTAGCTAAGGAGCACCTGCCAAGTCTGAAAGGACTATGAAAAAATTGCAAGAGGACTTTATTGGTACTCAGATAYGCTATCAAATACTTTTAGAACCACTAAGTTAAAAATAAAACGGAATGTGAACAATTCCTCAAAACAGGCTTTCTTGTAATACAACAGTCTATATGAATTTTAGGGAATAATTAGAAAAGATACCTTGTCATACAAATCTTCCTTCAGAGACAGAGCAAAAGACAATCCATGCTCAAGCCAGATGAGGGCTTGGATGAGGATTTTGAGCTCATACTGAATGTCTGCAGTAACCAAAAAAAGGCTACYAGCTCTTCTGTAACCAACTTCAAACTATCTTTCTTTTATCAAGCCCTAACCCTCAGTATGAACTATTTTGTGTCTCAGCACAAAGCCATGCCACACAAGACAGCCCTTCAGGAAGAGGGAGAGCCTCCAGCTTCCATATGCATGGACTATTACTATTGTTTGTTGTGGAACAGAAGAAAGCATGGTGTATTAAATGATTTTGGCATACCCATTATCACACTGTASCCTACTATATGTGAATTTTACCAGAGGCAATCAGAGCTCCCAGATCCAAAAGAATTGTGACTGACTCCTTTATTTCTAGCATTGAACTTCAAGCCTCAGAACAGGACTGTGCTGCCAGACTCATCTGAGATCATACACATTGTATGTACAATGTTGCCCATGCATGCAAAAAAACAGGATGAAAAAGGTTCATATTTACTGGAATTGCTCTGCTGTACTGTTAAATTCATGCATTCATCAATACACATGTCCCTCAAGAATCTAAACAAGTCTTCACCTCTTCAAATGTTTGCAGGATGTCCATTGAAGTCATTAGGCTGTCCCAATCTAGCCGGTAAGGTCCAGGGCGAATATGATCCACTATTCTGTTAGTAACATCTTCCACCACTCCTTGAGCTTTGTAGCTAGAAAAATATGTTTGTATACAGTAAGAAATTCTTTATATTCCATTAATTTGCAACACTACACTTAAATTAACATCTTGGTACCAGGAAGTATGGTCAGTGGACAATTGAATCAGAAAAACAGTACAGAAAAAGACCTATGGGTGCATCTATTCTTCTCTGCAATAAATTTTCTTCTGAAAAGCTTGGGTTTTTTTTCCCACAGTTAATATTATATAAATTGCAAACTCCTTCCTTCAATCTCTAACAACTGTAAAGCTTCCTGTTTTACTCCTACTGCTGGGCTAGAAAGGGAGTTCACCAGAGACAAGTAAAGCAAAAGTAAAAAGATCAGGAATGTAATGGGAAAAAACATCTTTCATAAAGAAAAAGTAACAGAATGTTGGAGACTCAAATGTTATRGTTTATTGCTCAAACATTTTCATGAATAACTTTTATAGCAAAACTGTGTAACAAAAGCTGCACAGAAGGACCCTGAAAGGGCCTCCAGCTGAGGCCCTGGACAGTAAACTGGTTTGAGATAAGATAAAGGTCTGGGCTTAGGTCTGGGCTGGGGAGAAAAATACTTTCACAGGAGGATCAAGCCCAGCATCTTCTGGGTGGAGGCTACAACCCTAGTCTTAACAGCTGCAAGGCTTGCAAAGAACCACACACCAAAGCAGGGAGGAAAGGCTTTGGGTGTAGTGAAAAAGCCTCTGGTCAGAGACAGGGAACACCCATCCTCCACTGGCTGGTGCAGACCAGGCCAGCTGTGGGGCTCCCCACCCTGGGAAAGCCACATCTAAGGGACATCCATGTGAGGGACAGCAGAGAGGGTCAAAGGCCCCCCAAAGGGATCCACATACCTTGCACCAAGCACTGCACATGATGCAAAAAGATGCAACAGATACACAGTTGTGCGAAAGACAACGTCAAACCTGATGCCCCCTGAGGGGAGGCACCTGGGTGTCCCCACCTAGCCCAAATGCATACTGATCCACTGGATTCTATACTTTTGGGTGGTAGAACCTCACCACCAAGACCAGAAAGGATCAGCAAGACATCACTGGCACCCATGCAGGGGTGATGTTTCTACTCAATCTGCCTGTCACTCTCCTTGTCCCCCCATACAGACCTCTTTTTCTATTTCTTTCTTTTCTCTTTCTCTTGCCTCTTTTAYTATTAAATAAAATATATAATTTTTTTGTTGYATCAACATCTAACCTCGTTTGGTTTTAATCAAGTTTTGGTGAATATTTTAACCTTTCTSGGTTTGTTCTACTTTATTCACAGAGATTTAGTTCTCTTTGCTCCTCTGGGATTACAGCAGATCATCACACAGCAGTAAAACGAAGCTAATGAGAAACTACATTATGCTTTAGTGCCATACAGGAGTACCAAATAAAATAACTTGGTACAAGACATTACAGAACATTCATTTGTAATCAGGTATTTTTAGTAGACACCAGAGATTTTGTTTATTTGAGTTAAYGGACCTCCAGTTCCTGAAGGGGAAGAATCCATCAAAATAATTACTTTCCAAAAACTCTGTGTTCATTAAGATACTCTTATTGATAGAAAATAACAGGTTAAGCAAGAGATTAATCTCTTCACTTGTGTAGTTAACCCATATTCACTCATAACCATCTGTATACCTGGAACTGGAGTACCACAGGAACATATCATTAACTTCCAGGTAGGTGTTTGAAAAGTTCTTTAAAGTGTCCTTTAGTTCTCCAGGTGCAAAAACAACTCTGGGGCCTTCACCTGCACACAGCAGGTGCCCTCCTCACAGAGGTTCAACTACATAACCTGTTGGTGCCAGTGGACCCATGGAACTGCAGTCAGCACACTCTTGGTGAGTGGGGCTATCAGCTCTTGCAGAGACTTAAATTCCATGGGGGCATCAATCTTTTGAGATAATTTTAAACACTAACTTCTCACATTACTTTCTGGTTTTTTAGAGAGCTGTTTTCTAGTTACTATTTCGTTACCTAAGCCTACAGATACCAACAGAACCCAGTGACAGAAACTCATACAGGAAGGGCGTTCATGTCACACATTGCTTTCGCAACTCTACACTAGATATTTTGAAGCCATGCAGTCACTAGCATAGTACAAGGACTGACTGGGCTGCCACCCAGTAAGAACTTCTGTAACCAGACTTGATTCTGAGCTTTATTGGCCATCATCTCTGGGTAGATGCTGTTACCCACTTCAGCCAATGACAGTCTGGTGGTATTTTGGTGTATTCTGCAGATTTTACCATGCAATGCTAAAGTACCAAACTAAAAAACTGGAAATAAATAGTACAGCCACAATAATAACCCACTTAGATTCTCCTCTGGAGAATCTGCGTAGCTCAGGGCTGTAGAATTCACAGCCTTAATGTCTAAATTCTACACAACACAATCTGTGGAACATGATATATCTGCTGTGCAGACAAACTTACAGRTATCCACTGAATTCCTCAGAGGGTTTACGCCATACAGTTGCATCTTTCTGAAAATATAAGACACAATGTTAATTGTAACTTGCATACAATTATAACAAGCCCAGAAAATACTTCAATTTTCCTGAGGARAAGCAGCTAACTTCATCATTAACTCTGGTTCAACAGGGCACCACAGCACACTTTTCTTCAGGTATTTCAGATACCTTTTACTTGTAATTTTCCTTTATTTCAAAAAAAAATCAGACAATTGCCTTTCCCAGTCAAATATTAGAAGTCTATGCAGAAGTAGCATTTGGCAGAACAAGCCAGTTTACTGTGAAAACACACAGAATAATGACATAACATTAGCACGTAAAGCCTTTAAATTACAAGGCAACTGGAAAGGCAAAAGCTGGGGGCTACTTCAGACAGGAAGGCCACACGACTTCAGCTTGCATTCCTGTACACAAGTTACAGAAGTATGCAAGAGGTTCAGTAGAAGACAAGAAAATTTAATTAGCCTTCTCTCCGATATGCCTGACAAGATGTCTCTTGCAAGCAGTAGTCTATTTATTTCAAAGTTACACAGAGAAAATAGTGAAACCAGTATCTCGTGGTTTTTATATAATACAAAATGGAGCCTCTACAAAATCTCTGAATTTTGGTGTTGAAGCGAGTACCATATGGAAGCACTTTATTTGGAATCATGATTATGTAAGCACAAAGGACTAAATCTCCTAAAGAACAGTACTGTTAAGCATTACATCTAGAATTGTTTAAGATATTTTGGGGCAAACGCTATCTCCTTGTGGCACGTAAAGCTCTGAATRCCTTTTCATTGGGCACAATACAAAAATGGAAAGAAGGGAGGGAGCAAGGAAAGGAGAGAGGAAGGAAAGGCAGGAGGGAGGGAGATGGTAAGCCCAACTAGAAATTTTTAAGGGTAAAATCTGAGGAGTGATCTGGTTTGAAACACTAGGATGCAGGTAACTTTTTAAAGGAATACAGTAGTACTTAATATAACAACACAGGAATACTAATACAGGAATAGACTTAACATTTAAAACAGAAGTGGTATAACTATTTCAAGAGTGAAAGGATTGGATGTTCTGTTCCCTCTCAACACAGCARATTTGTTAATTTTGCAAATAATCAAGTTACATTTGGATCATTCGTCTTTGTCTCATTAATACCTGATTATGATGGAAGAAAAAGAAAGTATTGGTCCCATTCAAACCATTAACAAAAAGACAAAGATGGAAATTTACCACAGTAGTCCTACCATATTGCTACACTTCTAGCTTCTGCAGAGGACAGCATTAAAAAGTATTCACCCAGCCCAGAACTGATGCAACAGCAAAGCTTTTATAGTTKGTTGAAGTACAAATCAAAAAACCCAGACAACTCAAAAGAAGAGGATGGCAAAATGAGAAAGCAGGAACTGTATTCCCTTTCATGGAAGAAAACTCCGGATATTGTGAGGGATCTAAAGAACAGAAAAGTGACACAACATGAGAGGAAGCATTGAGAACTATGTCACTTCTTAAGAGGAAGAGATTTAGAAAATGAAGCATGATGAACTATTGACAAGAGATTCCAGAGGCCGGCAGATCCTACCTGCAGGCTGGATCTGCTTTGTTGAAAGTACATGTAAGCCTCTTTCAACACTATTAGTATTAACTACTTCATATTTTGCTGTAAATCAAGCCTATAATCCTACACAGGTAAGATTATTCTGTGAGATWCTTCCCTGAAAACAGATAAAAACAATGGCAGGAGTATGCCTGCGAACARGAATAACACATCCTGCCATCTAAAGATGTTCTGTCCCCGAGGGGTGACTTCACAGCACCTATCATTTTGAAGTCCTGCAGGGCCAAGCGTTTCTCAGCCCTGTGACACGGCACAACAGGCTCTTTCCGCCGCACAGGTCCCCCACAGCTTCCGGGGAAGCACGAACTGGGAAGCAGCCCAGAGCACTCACGGTTTTCTTCGCCACTCGCCACTCGCCGTCTCCGATGCTGTGGTACCGAACCAGCGTGTTCCGCAGCTTCGAGGCCAGGGGCGCTGGATTGGGCAGGGGATCCATTTGCTTCCCTCCTGCGCGAAGATCCCTAATCACAGACACACAGCAGAACAAGGCACGGGGTCAGGGATGCCAACAACAGCGCAGATCTTCCAAACACGAACGGAGGATGCAGAAAACACCACCGCTCGCACACACGCACATCTCCCCCTGGGTTCGGGTGGTGGCGGGCGGTTGCCAGGGGCTCAAGCCGAGGTCCAGAGGCTCAGCCGAGGGCCAACAGCCGCCACGCTAGCGCCAGGCTCGTCCCGGGATCCGCCAGGAAGGCGGGACAGGCTCGCTCCCCTCACGGCCGCGCCAGCGCCTCCGCTCCCGCCCCGCGCTCACCCGCGACCGGCCCGACAGCGCGCGATGCCTGCCGCCAATAGGAGCGCGGCTGCCCCGCCGTCTCAGCCAATGACAGCGCGGTCCGTCGGGCGCGGGGGCGGTGAGGTCACCGCCCTTCGCGTCACGCGACCTGGAGACATGTCGCAGCCGTGTCGTCACGGGCCGGGGGCGGGGCCGCGCCCGGGATTGGGGGTGGCGGGGGTGGYGTGAGGGAGGGACGGGCAGAGCCATGGGCGCTCGGCAGCTGCGGGACGCCGCGGTACTGCTCCACTGGCGGAGCCCCAGGGCTTCTCTGCTCACCCCTGCCTTCCACTGTCTCTTCGTACTGATCTCACAGAGTGACAGAATCACAGAATCAGCTGAATTGGAAGGAACCCCTCAGGATCATCAAGTCCAACTATTGGCCCTGCGCCAATAGGACATTTTAAGAGTCACAGAACGCTTCTTTCAATGTGTCAGACCTGTGCTTTGAGCACTGCCCTGTGGAGCCTGCTCCAGTGCCCAAGTGGTCTCGGGGAGAAGGCCCTTTTTCCTGACATCCAGCTTAAACCTCCGCTAACTAAACTTCAGGCGATTCCCCGGAGTACTGTCGCTGGTCAGCGCAGAGAAGAGATCAGTGCCTGCCCCTCCTCTCCCCCTCAGGAGGGGGTTGTAGGCTGCAGTGAGGTCTTCAGTCTCCTCCAGCCTGAACGGACTGACTGCGCTTAGCTKYTCCTCATATGGCTTCCCCTCAAGGCCGTTCTTCAGACACTGTTTGTATCCTTAGATCCTTTTTGCACTGTGGTGTCCCAAAGTGTTGTCAGCCCTTGAGGTTAGGCCACCCCAGTGCAGAGCAGAGCAGAGCAGGACAATCCCCTCCCTTGTCCGGCTGGCGATGCTGGGCCTGGTGCCCCCCAGGACAGGGATGTCCCTCCTGGCTGCCAGGGCACTCATGTTCAACTTGCCTTCAACCAGGACCTCCAGATCTCTTTCCACAGCACTGCTCCCCAGCCTCTCATTCTCCAGACTGTCATACATCCAGGGTTGCTCCACCCCMGGTGCAGAGTTTGGTACTTTCCTCTGTTGAACTCCATGTGGTTGGTTCTCYGTGTAATTGAGGTCTCTCTGCAGGGCCTCCCTGTCTTTGAGGGAATCAACAGCTCCTCCCAGTTTTGTATCTGCACACCTGCTCAGTGTCCTTCCAGTCCTGTGAGCAGGTTGTTTATGAAGATGTTGAAGAGTACAGGGCTGAGGATGGGGCCCTGAAAAACCCTACTAATGACAGGTCACCAGTGTAATGTCACCCCAATCACTGTAACACTTTGTGCCCAACCCAGGAGCCAGTTTCTCACCCATCACATGACATGTTTATCCATTTGTTGAAAARATTAATTACTTGTCAATAGAATGGCCTTATTAAGGTTTAGGACTCAGTGTGCTTCACTGTCAAGACTTAGGGGGAGGTTTAATGCTCAGACSTAGTGGGAGGTTGACAAAGCCTGGAAGAAGGATGTACTGTTGCAAAATGTGGAAAATGTAAATTTTTTTAAAGAAAGGAGGCTCTTTAATATTTTAGCTTTTTATACTTTCAACAACAAGGAAKATTTAATCCCTGGAAAAGAAAGCAGCCAACAAGCTCTAAGTGATGTCCGGGTGTTGGAAAGGCAAATTACTTGTTAGCAGAATTGCCTTGTTAAAGTTTAGGGCTTGACAGGCTTCAGTGATGTCAGACCTAGGGGAGGTTTGTGGAGAAGGATGTACCTCTGATGGTGGACACAAAGAATGCGGAATTTATGGGCACAAGGACATCTGGCAGAATCCCCAAGAAAAGAAAGAAACTAATAAAGGAACTCAGCAATTGTGATGAATCAGCTATGACTGGGTAAAAAGTTGTTCCGGCAGCAGGAGATGCAATCACCAACCCAAATGAAAGACTGAGCTTGTGGCCTAACACAAGAAGTGAGCAACTCACTTAACCTGTGAGTTAAGATAGACTAGACAAGATAGACTAATTAATAAGTGAACAATGAAACTTGTAGCCAATGAACATTGATTCCTATTTTTGCTAAAATTTATAAATAGTACTGATGGTTGTGGTGTTGGCTTTGTGGATTTGCCACCAAGCCCCCCTTTCTGCACAGGCCTGTAAATTAATATCTCCATTCTGTGCATGGATTGGCTTCCTGCAGACCAGGTATAAGAACCTACTTTGGGATGACAGGGCTTCTTCACAGTGGCCATAGAAAGTTTTACACAGGGTTGCTGCTTTCCAGAGTCCTGTGGATTTCCTCTTCAGCTACAGCGTGTGCTGCAATCACCTTTGTGGTGGGCAGGAGCAGTGAAGGCAGCTTCCCTGGGTTGGCATTCCCAGCTGGCTGTTAGCTGTGGCTTTTGTCACAGTACCTGAAACTGAAAACTACATGTTTGTCCAACCACAAAGGGCTTTAGGAAGTGCAGAGCACATTGACTGACACATTGAGGTCAGAAAGCCTGGGACACTCCTCTTCCAGTCAGCATTGCTTAAAGCACAGCTCAGCAGGATGTTGCGTAAGTGTTGAATCTTTGCTTTGCTCCATAAAGCAGCAAAGAAGATGGGATTCTTGCTAGGAAAAGGCAGCATCTGTGGTCAGCCCACAGCTGAAGTAAACTTCAAAAGTATGTATAAGTGCTTGTTTCCTGCAGAATTGCACTGTTCTCTGGGCATCACCCAGCTCAGTCCAGCAAACACATTGGACAACATCCACATAAAAGTGAAAACTTTTTTAAGGGCAGAAAGATAAATGGGTTAAAAAGTAGATGATTAGAGTGACAATTGACCAGTCCCTGGCTGCTTTCTCCATCTGTCCTTTTTCTGTTCCMCTCCTTGAAGTGCAGTGCTTCTTGCCCTTGACATGGCATTCCTTCCCCAAGGGCTATTACTAGTATAAACCACCAATGCAAGTTTGTTCATTTTTTTAAGGGGGAAATTTATTTTGTCTTGAAGGAGGGAATGACAAGTTTACATTGGAAAATGCTGATTATAAATAAAACCTTATTTGTAAAAATGTTAGATGTTTCCATGGGCTGGGTGGATTTTAACAGAAAGTTGTTTGGTTTCTTTAAAGCTGCTCTGGGAACTCATATGTACAAGTTTCTTAAGTTTATGAGGTCTGTCAGCCTTCTGCTGACAGAAGTAGGCTTATAGATACCCTGTATTCTCATGTTCTGTATTAATTTTATGATTTAAGCCAACAGGGAGCTTTCAGGRCTTATAAACTTCTTTTTGCTCACAGTGAGGCATTTCCATACCTTCTGGGATTCCCAGCTGTGCAGAGCACAGTGTCAGTGAAGCATGTGAGATAACTGATAGATGCTGAATGTTTCCTGTGTTTTGTTCCCTCACAAGTTACAGTAATACCTACAGTGCTACCAGCTTGTACGCATGTGAGAAAAGTGCTGTGAGGAGGTGAATGTTAGAAGTTGCTAACAGTACCACATCTGAGCTTTTGCTGCTCCTTCCTGCTCATCTCTCTGGCCCAGCTCTGCAGCAGTGACTCCTGAACCCCTTCCAAATCACACCAGAGCTGTGTTATGCCTGAGGTATGCAGTATTTCTGTGGAAGAACATCTGTTCCTCTTGTTACATAACACCTTGCATGGGGGAGTTTTAATTACCGTGATGGGTGAGACACACAAACGCTGTCAAAAAGCAYAAAATACCTCTGTCCCTCAATGGGAAAGTAACTAGATAAGACAATTTTCTTTCTGAAAACATCTGCAGTCACCTCCATGAAGATGAACGCTTGTCTTAGAATTCCTGATACTTCATGTTACAAATCATGTTATTTGGGAAAGTCTGAGACTAGCTACTAATTTTAGTTTATCAGTGCTTAGAAACAGCTTTAATCACTGAAGGTGCTCTTCTGTATAACAAACTTTGGCTGGGTTTCAAACAGGAACTGAAGGAACTGAAGGAACTGAAGACTTTCAACCCTAATGTCTTGCAAGGCAGCAAAATGTCTGCAGTTTACCAAACATATAGGGCCAAGTTCTGCTTTTGTAGCAATGGGTACAGAATCACTAATACTGAACATTGTCATTCCTATATGACCCTCAGCAGGCTCATTCCAATCCGGAAGAGTACCAAAGTACTTAACTGGATGGAACCTTTACTCCAGCTGTTGGAAGAAGAGCAAGTGGCACACAGTTGCCTCATTAAAGTTATTCCAACCAATTTATTTCTCTTAAATTTAAATGTATTTAGTGCCCTTTGCAGATGAAAAAGATGTCCTTGGCATTCCTTCCAACCTGWTATTAAATTATTCTAAAGCTCAGCAGGCTGCCCTTACTAATAATGTATCTGATTTTCTCAAACTTAAAGTTGTGTCACACAGACAACTCTAAAAAAGCCTCACCGTATTTTGTCCTTCTGAGACTGCTCTTTGCTGGTTGAGCTAGCTTGATCATATGGAGTTACAGTATCTCCATTTAGAATTAAATTAATATGGAATCAAATCTGAATTTTGGAAATGAAAAAGCAAACCCAAGATCAGTGTTACCAGATTTCTTTTTTTCTCCGTGCTTTTCACGAAGTAATCAACAGCTATAGATAAGTTGAAATGCTGGGGGGTTTTTCTCCTAATTTTCTGCTTCATTAGTAGCTTTCTGCTTTTTACAAGCTTTAACTAAGGTTATGCAATTAGAGGCATTAGTTAATTCCAATGCAGAAGGGTAGAGATAATGGCACTTGGCATCCCATATCCTTTTGGCATCTTCATCCCTTTGGCTGATGAGTTAGCAAGAGTCATCAGACAACTTTTCAAGAAGMGAAGTGCAACTATCATTGTTTATCAATATTGCTTAACACTTTTGAGGAAAAAGCAGCATTTCCTCACTAGATTTCGTAATTGTTTATTTTGTGGTGAATAGACTACAGTGTGTCAATGGGAGTGTGATTACCAAGGTAGTYCAACATATTTATTCTGAGCCTGAGTCTGAGACTTTTTTATTTATGATCTTATGAAAAGTAGCTGCAAT